TCCCTACAACCTTCTTAATCTTCAGGGGAACTGGTTGTTCTGAATTCCTTGTATTTTTGCCTTCAGCTGGTTTGAAACCACGAGGGTGCAACAAGAACTCATGCAATCTATAGAATTAGATAAATAAGAGAAATGATGGGAGACAATAAATAAAGCCAAAAGAATTGTTCTTATTAAACAATATGTTACCCACCCAAAGGCACTTCGGAGAGCCAGGCACTCATCTTTTAAAAATTCTGGGGCCTCAGTGCAGCCTTTAGCCCATGCTTGTAGGCATAAACGTATGCAGGCATCGTAAGTGATAAGGGTTTGCCAGGCATTTTGACTATTGCAACTGCTGAGATAACATGCCATAACAGGAAGAGAGCACATAAATGTGAATTTCAAAACAGTATTAAATATTACTATATTAGCAAAGCATTCATGTTGAATGTTGATTCAAATCTTGGACTCACGACGACCAGCATAAGAGTGGTAGCTTATTTATGTATTTCATTCTTTAGTATAGTTCATGCACGTGTAAGACTTTCCACCTTGTCATCTGATTAGAGATGTACAATAACTACCTTAAAAGTCATAACTAAAAAAACATTTTAGACTGTTTACATTGACGGTCTATAGAAATTAAACTATTTTACGAAAATGCATGAAGTAAAGATTGACAGGCATTTAATAATACTTAAATTAAATAGAAAGTAAAAGTTGAAGGATTGTAGCACCTGGTGTTGTAATACTGTAAATGAGGGGTCTGTCTTTCAATGTCATCCATGAAAGTCCTGTCCAGTCTGCAGAGTTCAATATGAAAAGGACACTACAGCTGGTTAGGAAGAATCAAACAAGGAAAGAGAAATTCCCTAATCCATAGAGATGGCAATGCCAATAATACCTTTCCCCAATCTCAGTCTGAGTGGGTTTTGCAACAAGATTGGGTCTTTGTTCAATTGAACTCTCACTCTTTGTGCCATCATAATCCAGAGACTCCCTTGAAGGGCAAGATCCCCGATCAATTGGTTCATTCCTGAGTGAACATTCCGAATCCCCCTCCAGAGGAAAATCAGCATCAACGATGGGAGGGGCACTTGGAGTACCCAATCCAACAGTGTCATGAGTGCAATTCAGATTGCGAACGGGACCACCAGGAGTAGGGGTGAGCTTCCTCTGAACGCACTTATTGAAACCCACTCCTCCATCGGTGAATCTTCTGACACTGCCGGGAACCTGAATGGTAAGGTTTTGATTGGCCAAACATGTCTTGAGAATTCCACTAGGGGGTTTAGGTTTGCATCCGAACAACTGTTCCTCGTCGGAGAAATGGAGGTTGTTGGGAGCGGAGAGTACTTCGTCGTCGGAGAAGGCGTCCTCCATGGTTTGGTCACTGTCGTCGTCGGCATCGCCGAAGCCGAAAGCGAGGTTGCGCGGTTGTAGGAGAGCGGAGTGGAACTTGAGTGGAGGCAAATTGGGGGAAGAGAGAGCGTTGGCGGTGGTCGAAAGAGGGGATCTTGGGAATCTCTGGCAGCTGATTTTTTCGACAAGAGGAGAGCGTATGATGGAAGGAGGAGAAGGTTCTTCTTCGAGTTGTAGTCGCGATCCCTGCAGTTGAAACTTAATGAAGAAAGAAAGGGGAGTGATGGAAAAGGAAAGAAGAAAGAGGGAGAGGCCTCACCTGGTTGATCCATTGGATCGCGCTCTCATCGAGACCTTCGGTGAACATGAATCGTCGTCGTCAATGGAGAATGGATGAATCAAAGAAAAGCAAAGAGGCTTTGGCAGTGTCACAGTGTATACAAGTAATACACAAGGACCCGCGCCTCCGTCTCCAACGGCTAGTTTCATTTTTCAAACCTTCGTGTCGTGACAGATAGATAACAAAGCTACTTTCTTTCTCTCTTTTTTCTTCAAATATGACAGATAATATGTTTATTAACATTTAATTAAGTAAGCATAAAATCTATCATTACTATTTCATCTCATTTTTTTTCTTTTCTTTTCTACCGCTTTTACGACGTTTTTTTAGCATACAAACAAACCTGAATTACAGAATCTAACATTCGACTGCCACAAATATGTTCCATTTTAATTGTCATTTTATAATATAAAAAAATATTAAATATTATTTTCTTAATTATTTGTTATAGAGTGAGAAGATAAAAAATATTAAAGAAAGAATCTAATTGATATAAAAAAAGGAGTGTAATAGACATTTTAATAATACTTTTTATGAAGTTTAAAATATTAATTCTTAATTATAGCATTTTTTTATTTATTTATTTTAGTGAAAACTTAAAAGGCAACTTGCTAATCTAAATTAAAGTTGTCGTTGCAATTTATTTTTTCGAAAACAGCATACATTTGTGGATGTGGAAGAAAAGTAAATGAATTACGTAATTAAATATATATTGTCTATATTTATTTTACCACACTATACAAAGGGTATTAGTAATAAAAGAAAAAATAATAGAAAAGTTAAGTAATGACAAGTTCTAAAGGTTTAAGTCAATAACCTTCTCATTTTTTACAACGGAATGTTTCATTGAGAACAAAGACAATAAATAAATGTGAGTTAAATGTATATTAGAGAGAAAAACATTAATGAAAAAAGTTAAATGTATATTTCAAATTTTAAATTCTATTAATAACCATTTATTTTATAAGATAACAAATTATTAAATAGAGAATATTAAGTTTTAGTTTAAACGAGCAAAAGAAGTTGGATAACTATTTTGCTTTAAATATATTATGATAAGATGTACTATAATTCTTATCTTTATAAACAAGTAACTAAAATGGGATTATTTTATTTTATTTTCTTATATGAAAGATCAAGACCACATTTCACATATTTTAAAAAATGATAAAACTAAGAGGAAGTAATTAATTTTTTTAGGTGAATAAAAGTATATTTCTAATGACTTAAAATATATTTAACACCACAAGATTATTATTAAAGTAGTTTCTCATATAATATTTTTGAATAAATATTAATAATAAAAAAAACTTTTTAATACACATTACAAAAATACTCTTCCAATTATATAATAACAAGTGTATATGTCCATGAGACGAGCTTCAATATGACAGTTTAAAGGAACATTTTGAATTATCTTGACCGTGGTGAACTTTGGAATCCATCTTATCTAAGCATTTATTTATAAAAAAATAAAATAAATTAAAAAAAAGAAGAGATATTTTGAAAGTGTATTTAAGCTTATACAAATATTGTGATTTTTTTTTAATGATGTTTAGTTTACTTCCATGACTATTTCAAAGAAGACTATTCAAACAAGTTTTTTTTTTTAACATATTCACATAAAATTCACATTTGAACTTATGCATGTTTTATTTTATTAAAAAAATATTAAACAAGTATTTAAATCAACCCTTTTTCTCACGCAACTTAAAATTGGAATGATTTGCTAGCCAATATGTTATTTTATTAGATGCCGTGCACGGAAAGTTTACTCTATCTTAACCCGACGCTTGAAATCTGTATTAGAACAAGTATTTTTATTTCTTTCAATTTTATCTCTGTCAATATTCATGGCATCTACTGGAAATGATGATAACTTCTCAAAAAATATGTAATAGAAGAATCATAAAAACTTAAAAAATATTCACTCCCAAAATAAAATAAAAAAGACCAAAACATAAGTTGTTGTATTAAAAAAACAACTTAAACATGATTTTGTTAAATTCGATCCCAATACTAAGTAATAGTTTTTGTTTTAATCACTAAAAAGTAATTTAAATTTCATTTTGATTCTTCCACGAAAAAAAAAAAACTGCATAGTGGTCCTTATACCTAAACTAGTTATTTATTTATTATTTTTTATATATATTTTTTCGTATTCCAGCAGGAAAAAAAAATATCTAAAACTGACATAATACAGACAAATGACAGATTCATTCATAAACATGTTTTATTGTAAAAAACAGAAATGTAAATCTATTTCCGGGTTATGACAAACTAAAACCCGGACGGCCAGACTACTCGAAACGTTCAACCATTATGCTCTCCCGCATTGTTTTTAGTAATACTGAAAGCATTGTAACATGCCAAAAATGACTCGGTCAACAGTAGCATCAGTTGCGATCTACCGAAAGCCCAGAAATACCTAACCACCTACCCCAACACTCATCAGTACTCATACTCACCAACCAAGCACCAACCTCTACTTATAGCTTCAAAGTGTCTTTTTCCTGTACGGCTTTTGGTATCGTACAGTGGGAGTTCACGAACATGGGGACCATTATTCCACAAATTGGCAGCCAAAGTGTTTCCTCTGAGTCGAAGTGGTTGTCTGTGAGTGACACAGATCCGCTGAACTGGGGTGAGGCAGCGGATTCACTCAAAGGTAGCCACCTTGACGAAGTAAAACGCATGGTGGCAGAGTACCGCAAGCCAGTGATCTGTGTGGGTGGGGGAGAAACACTAACTATATCACAGGTGGCTGCTGTTGCCAACCATAACTTGCAGGCTAAGGTTGACCTTTCAGAGTCTGCAAGGGCAGGCGTCGACGCCAGCTGCGAGTGGATCATAGAAAACATTAAAAAAGGGACTGCCATTTATGGTGTTACCACTGGCTTTGGTGCTGCCTCCCACAGGCGAACTGAACAAGGCCTTGCTCTTCAGAAGGAAATGGTTAGGTGAGGTTCATCTATGCATGATTGTAAATATATGTGCTTTGCTAGTCTAAAGGAATTGTGCAACTCATAGTCTAAATACTATGCCGTAGTGTTAAATACTATCCCATTTAAAACTTTTAATGTTATTATAAAAGTCAACAAATAGATCTATTATATATAATAATATATAGTTGGACCACAGTAGTGCTTTATAATTAAATTCTAACTCTATTGGCTTATGTACTTATGGATTTACCACTTTTCCTTCTTAAGGTTTTTAAACTGCGCAATATTTGGCTACGAAACAGAGTTATCTCATACACTGCCTAAATCAGCAACCAGAGCAGCAATGCTTGTGAGGGTTAATACCCTTCTTCAGGGGTACTCAGGAATTAGATTTGAAATCTTACAAGCTATCACCAAACTCCTCAACCACAATGTCACCCCCATCTTGCCATTACGTGGTACAATTACTGCGTCTGGTGATCTAATTCCTCTGTCCTACATTGCTGCATTGCTAACCGGTAGGCGAAACAGTAAAGCTGTCGGACCATCTGGAGAGTCCCTTAATGCTAAGGAAGCTTTCCATTTAGCAGGTCTACATTCTGGCTTCTTTGAGTTGAAGCCAAAGGAAGGTGTTGCCCTCGTAAACGGCACAGCCGTTGGGTCTGGTGTAGCTTCTGTGGTGCTTTTTGAGGCAAACATATTAGCTTTACTGTCGGAAGTTTTATCAGCAGTTTTTGCTGAAGTTATGCAGGGGAAGCCAGAATTTACTCATCATCTTATACATAAGCTGAAGTACCATCCTGGCCAAATTGAAGCTGCCGCTATTATGGAACACATTTTAGATGGAAGCTCGTATGTCAAAAATGCTAAAGTGCAACAGGCAGATCCGTTGCAGAAGCCTAGAAAGGATCGTTATGCTCTTGTAACATCTCCTCAGTGGCTTGGTCCACAGATTGAAATCATCCGCTATTCAACCAAATCAATTGAAAGGGAGATAAACTCAGTAAATGACAACCCCTTGATTGATGTCACAAGGAATAAGGCTTTGAATGGTGGTAATTTCCAAGGCACTCCAATTGGAGTTTCAATGGATAATGCACGTTTAGCTGTGGCTTCAATTGGCAAGCTCATCTTTGCCCAATTTACTGAGCTAGTAAATGATTTGTATAATAATGGGTTGCCATCAAATCTCTCATCAGGTAGAAACCCAAGTCTGGATTATGGTTTTAAGGCATCTGAAGTTGCCATGGCTGCTTATTGTTCGGAACTTCAATATCTAGCTAATCCAGTATCAAGCCATGTGCAAAGTGCTGAGCAGCATAACCAAGATGTTAACTCTTTGGGCTTAATTTCTGCTTTGAAAACTGTTGAAGCAGTCGAGATATTGAAGCTCATGTCTTCCACTTATCTGGTTGCACTCTGCCAAGCAATTGACTTGAGGCATTTGGAGGAAATTTTCAACAACACAGTCAAGAATACAGTAAGCAGAGTTGCACAGAAAATATTAATTACAGAAGACAGAGAAGAAATTAACCCATTTCGACTTTGTGAGAAAGATTTGCTTAAAGTGGTCGACAGAGAATATGTATTCTCATACATTGATGATCCCTCCAATGTTACGTACCCATTGATGACGAAACTAAAGCAAGTACTTTATGAACAAGCACACATCAGTGCCATCAATGACAAGAATGTGAGCTTGTTGATTTTTGAGAAGATTGGAGCTTTTGAGGATGAATTGAAGTCTCTCTTGCCAAAGGAGATTGAAAATGCAAGAGTGGCTTATGAGAATGGCAATCCAGCAATTCCAAACAGAATTAAGGAGTGTAGGTCATATCCACTGTACAAGTTTGTGAGGGAGGAGTTAGAGATAGGGCTGCTCACTGGAGAAAAGACTCTCTCACCAGATGAGGAATTTGAAAAAGTTTTTACAGCCATGAGTCAAGCAAAGATTATTGACCCAATTCTGGAATGTCTTGGAGATTGGAACGGGGTTCCCATCCCAATATAATGTGTAATGTGCAAATGTTTGAAAATAACTAGCTGGCAACTTTATTTCGTGATATCTGTTTTTTAGGATTTTATTTGAATAACTAGTTGAGATAAACTAGTGTGGATTATTCGTGTAAACATTATCTGTATGCCTAAATCAATCAAAAACAAATATGTTATTACTTTAATTATAAAGTAATTGTGTCTCACATTTATATAATTATTAAACATAAATTCATTCTGCACATATTAACAATCAATTTAGTTTACATATCTTGTTCAGACAAGATCCACTCAAAAGTTTCTCTTGTACCTTGCCAAACTAGATAAACAATAAACTGAAGAGCATGGCTAAGAGAATAGTAGTTTGAAGAAACAAAAGATACTTCTAACAAAGGTTGCTCTGTTTCTTTTGCTTCTAGCGTAGCCAGGAGTTTGTTATCTCACAACCATACCAAAAAATCACAGGATCTATAATTCCATTGAAGAGTGACTAATGAACCGTCTCCAATATTTTTCCATAGGCTTCAACATAAAAAAATTTATAAAAAAAAATAAAGAAACACTAAAATCAATTATTTAAATTTTCACATCTGCGACAAAGATGTATTATCAGTATGAAGCAGTCAGCAACTGCATATATATATTACCAAGCCAGATAAGATAACTAAGAATAAATAAAGTTAATGAAAAGGGCTATCCTTGAACACTCGAAAGCACCATGGAAATCTTGAAGAAATCTAGAAGTATCCATTTAATTTTTCTTAATCAGTATTTGAATGAATAAGGAATGAGACAATCTCTGCAATTACAACTTCCTCAAGAAACTTGACAAAACTAAATCACATGAAACAAAATGATACCAAACACTAGTTGAATGAGTAAACCACTTACGATAGACATGTTGAAAGGGGAACAAACTGTAGTTTGCATAGCAACATAAAATTGATCACAACTATTTACTGCAATCAGCAAGGCATCTATTTCCCCACTCAATATGCTGCAAAGAAATCAAACTACAAAAGAATTAAGCAAATGTTATACCGATTAAGAAAAATTCCTCTTCCAGCATGCATTTTGCTTAGTTGGTGAGAGATAGCAAAGCGAACTTCAATCTATCTTCACTGATGAGAACAAGTAGTGCACAAAGTAAAATGACATAAGGAAGCCAATGGTTCCGGTTGACAACATGATTGCAATGGCCATGAGCAGTGAATAGCCAAGATAAAGTATAGCTGAGATAGGTCCACTCAAACTCTGAAGGTCGAAAACCAGGTAGTTAATGGAGTACAAGAAGACATAAAGAGCAACAGAGCCTGAAGCAAAGAATGACTTCCACCACCACCGCCAATCTTCCACACAAAGATGCATATATGTGAGAACCACTGACACTTCAGCACAAACAATAACCAGCAATAGAAGAACTACCAACAGGAAACCAAATACATAATAGAATCTCCCAAGCCAGATACTGGAGAGGATAAAGAAAAGCTCAATGAAAAGGGTTCCAAATGGAAGAGTTCCTGCACCAAGAACAAGAAGCCATGATGGATATTTCCGTGCAGGAATCTCCCTTGGAATCTGGTTAGTTCGCACAGGATAATCAATTTGAGGAGCTTTTGTGCCCATAAATCCTCCAATGAGTGTAAGTGGCACTGAAATGCAGAACCAGAGGAAGAGCAACTCAAAATACATGGAAATGGGAATAGCACCAGTGCTTTTGCTGCCCCAGAGAAGAAAATTCAGTGCTGTTAGAATAATAAAAGCAATTCCAGGAAAAAAGCATGCAGATGACCAGGAAATCGATCTCCACCCTTCTGAAGTTCCCTTAATGGTTCTCCATAGACGTACACTGACATATCCAGCAGCAATTCCCAGGAAAAGATATAAAATTATCATCCCTGTTAGTAGCATTCCCCTGGAAGCCGGTGACATGAAACCCAAGGCTGCAAAAACAATAGTAACAGCAGACATTCCAAGAATCTGAACTCCATCCCCAACCATCACACAGAGAAGCTTTGGATGATCAGGCTCTCTAAATACATCACCCACAACAAGCTTCCATCCAGAAAGCTCCTCATTCATCTGTGCCTGTGCCTCTTTGTCCAACTCCTCATACCTTGTCAAGTCCCTTCTAACAGTTCTCAAGAAAATGACAAAGACAATACCAGCTAAGAAAAAAATCACCATAAGTGAATTTAGAATGGAGAACCAATGCACCCGGGAACCCTCCATCTTTAAATAAGCATCCCAACGTGATGGCCATCTTATATCACTTTTCACAAACTCAACTTCGTATGTAAATGATATCCTCTCTTGCTCTCTTATTGGTTGATACTTGTCTAGCTCAGCTGGGCAGTTTGTCACAGAGATATTGTCATACATATGAAGCTTTGTCATGGCTTCAGGATCACGCTTAACACTGCAAGGGACAACCTGAAAGCCAACAATTTCATATCCGGATACCTTCTTCTTGTCAGCTTCAGAAATAACGCCCATACCTTCCTCCCCAGTCCCAATGATTTCAACACCATTTCCTTCATATTCATGAACCAAGACTGTGAATTTGAGATGGTTAATGATGTAATCTGCACTACCATCAGGCGGTGTGTACCCAACAGGGAACCCCGTCCACTGGATTTTAACCCCATTTTGATTGGCAAACCTCATAACAGGCAAATTGTCAAGGATCATATTTACTTGATACAAATCACGAGTCCTATGTTTCAGTAGCTTTACCTCGTGCTCATTCAAGGGGTTCGTAGTACAGAGGTAGATTGATTGGTTAACATTCATTCGGAAAAGGTAGGGAGAGTTATCGATCTGATCTCCCCTGAGGAGTTCTCCGAGATTCTCAGCGCTTTTCTTTACGCCACCAAGGGGCTGGCAATAAGGGAGAGTGTAGTAGCCGAAGGGAAGCTCAGTCTCAATAGAAGTCAATGAATTAACCTTCGCATATATCTGATCTCCATTTGAGTAAGTGTGCATGTAGCTTCCCGGAAGATAAAATGCATTGCTGAATTGAACAAACACATTGACAATGACGGAAAGGCAAAGCCAGTAGATCAACGGTTTTCTCCTAGTTGGCACCTCCATTTATCAGCAAGCAAATGTCGAAAAATAACCTAACTCTGACGATGCATTCAACACGAAATCTACAATGGAATAAACAATTTAACATGAGAATCCAGAGATTTATAAAAAAAATAACAATAAAATGCAAGCACGTGATATCAACAATTTGAAATCAGATCCATTAGTTGTGAATCACAGAGAAGAAAAAAGCAACGCAGATCGGCTTAAGAACCGAGAATCAGATTACAAGAGTCAAATATAATAGCAAATAACACCAATGATGAAAACACGAAGAATGTAAAATTATTAATGGATGCGGGAGCAAGAGCAGCAACAAAAATCAAACAGAACAATAATGTGCAACACATAGCAAAATGCAGAGGAAGAGATATGGTTAGAGAGGAAAGGAAGGGTGACATCACCATGGATTTTGGCGATACAGATCTCAATGCTCAACACAACGTAGCAGATGCAGATGCAGATGCAGATGGAGATGGAAATGGAGATGGAGATGTAAGGAAATAACACGAGAAATTACTCGCTCGTGAAAGTGATACTTACTCGCTGTGCGTTTGGGCCCACTCAAGCCCATCCAATTGTGAATCGTTGGACCCTTTAGTGCATCGCCCGGCCTGCTTTATATTTTTCTTCCTCATTAGCTTTGTAATTTAATTTTGACTGTTATTATCAAAGTAATATTTTATTATTTGTGTGTTCCTTAAATTTTGGTCTATATTTGTATTGAAATAAAATTATTTTTATTTGATAGTACTAATTTTAGAAATATTTTAATAATATCAATTAAAAAAATTCTTTTTTTTAATAATTATACATTTACAAGTGTTTTTATCAGCATTATTTTAATAACATTCATCATATCAAAATAATTTTCTAATAAGAATTTCTAAAAGTAAATTAATTTACTCAATTTACTTTTGATTAAAATCAAATTTCAAAATAAAAAATAATTGAAAATTAAGTTTTCAAGTCATAATTGAAACACACTAACCCACGATCTTGCGTTCCCTGACTTTAATATTACCAAGCACCTTATTCCACTCTTTAAAACGCTGAGTGGCCATCATGGAGCTTAGTCCCAACATTCATCTTGTGCTATCACACTTATATTCAATCAAGTTCTTTGTTAACTCCAAACATAATTTAAACATTAATTATATCCAACAATCCAATAATCATTTATTTTCTTACCTGTCCATATATCTTTTTGTTTCCAATAAATAATTAGTGTCGAAGCTAATCATCTCTTAAGATATTTTGATGCGTCACCAACTCGGGTAAAATTTGCTCTGATTGCTATTGTATACATTTCACTATTAGCAATGATTATTGATATATATTCGCTCAATTAACTTTTTTTTTTGGTATCATACTATGAGTGGGAGTATTTCAATATTAAATTTATTATTTTGACTCTATATTAAAAGAATAAAATGTAAAATTGTTGTGTAAATTGATATAGATAATAGATGGCATTTTCTATGGCCTTGTTTAAGAACTGTGACGATGAGAACTGAGAATCCTGATCCGTTTAGTTAAGCTATTGCCTTAAAAGTTGCACATTTGTGTATTTGGATGGATTCATTCCAGTTCAACTACATTGTCGCCAGATCCGATGTTAACTAGATTAATTATGTAAAGATTCTTTCTTGTGAGAGAAGGCTCAAATAAAAGATTAAGGAGCAAAAAGAGAAGAAGATGTCGAATGTCTCTAGTTGTTTTACATGTCAATTCTTACAGAGCCACAGCAAGGAACAAAAGGTCGACATGATGGTACAGTCCAGTCTCAAAGAGCAGAGAGGAGGATATTGAAAGATGAGGAAGGGAGTAAAGAATATGTAACAACATATAATACATTCAGTGGAACTTGAGGCTGGTCAAGACGTTGTTGTGCACAGGGTCAGCCAGGTGATCTAGGAGGTTTTGGTATGGTCCTTCCCCTGTCACGAGAGCCTGAACAAAGTAACCCAATATTGCCAACATAGCCAACCTTCCATTCTTCACTTCCTTCAGCTTCAAATCCTTCAAGGACTTCTCATCCTTGCCAAAGCCAAGAGGGTTAAAGAAGGGTCCTCCAGGGTAAGCTGGCTCACCAGAACCTCCAAGACCCTTCTCTAGTCCTAAGAAGTATTGTTTCCCCATAGAGCCAGGTTTGGCCCAGTCTTGGAACCTTCTGTGCTCTGCAAACCCCATTAGCGCCAACTCAAACACAAAGAGTGTGTAGGAGTCTGCCCAGTAGTTGTATGTTCCTGCAGGTGGGATCACACCGGTTTTGAACCATGGGAGTGCTGTTTCCTGTGGGATCAGACCGGCTTTGCCAAGAATTTCAGGTGCAATGGCACCAACTGCACCCAACATTGCGTACCGACCGTTGATGATTTCACCATATGCTAGCCATTTTGGCTCGATGAACCCTCCTGTTCCTTCAGGGTCTGAAAGTCCTAGAGGGTCAAATCCGTAGTCACCTGGTAGGCTGCAATGCAAATCATGACAAATAAAGTCAATGCCAACATACTGAAGTGCAGATAAACATGATGTATTGATGTAATATTAGGTAATTAGCCTCGTAACTTAGATACAGTATCCTTAGTCATCAAAATTGAAATTTCACTTTTGTAATGTGCTTTTATACTTGTTATAACCTTTAGTTTCACATATTATCAAAATTCTGATGTAAAAAAAAAAAAAACACCAACAATGCCTATCGGTACTGTAACTAAGTTTTGTACTAAAACAAAAGGACAAAACTTAAATAAAGTGTTATGTTGTTGTTCTGTGATTAAAATTGAAATCAATTCATGCAATTTAGTTTTCATGGAAACTCTTTGCTCTAACCTGTTCAAAAGTTGAGGTACATGGTTGATTTTAACTCAGCAAAAACTGAATTTATTTTACTTTCTTCTGGTATAATATTTTTCTTTAGAGAAGTTTATCCTATATAATCAATTATGAAGAAAGTTACCTGCCATCCAAGTAAGAAAGACTTTGCTTTGATGCAAACCACAAAGGTCTGTCTGCTCCTTGCTGAACTCGAAAAGAGAGAGAGTTTTTTCAGTATAGTTGTAGATGAAGACAGACATCAACATAAAAGACAATGAGTGAGAGAGGAAGAGACCTTGACAGGGGGAGTCGAAGCTGCCTTAACAATAAAGGAGGCTTTTCTGGAGAACCCTTGAGGTGATCTTGCTCCAAGACTCTGTCTTGCAGCCTCGGCTGAGAAGGTAAGAGAGGATGAAGATACTAGAGCTTGTGCAGCCATGCTTTGGCTCTGCTGCAGCAAAAGAGAGTTTGTTGTACTCAGTGGTTAGGAATGAATGATATCTAAGGCAGTGACTAATAAGCCAAAGGGTGGAACACGGTTGGCCACTAGTTTGGCCCGCATGTACGAGCAGTGTGGAACTCCTGGTGGATATTGAATGGCGCAATGTAGCGAGGATGAGATTAAGATCTAGTTCTCCAACCAGCTTTATACACGTAATATCATGAATCCGATAAGGGATGGGATATTATTTCCTTCCCACTGCCGTTGCTACATGATCATCATGTAATCTCACCCCAACTCCTGTGGATAATGTCTTCTCTTCTCTATTCTCTCTATTTTATCCACGTGGAATTTTTTCAGTATAAATCTTTCTTGCATGAAATAATTTTAGCATAGGCAACACTTGACATAAATAAAACACCTAGGATCTGTGTAACAGTTAAATGTCTAATTAATCATCTTTGTTTCTTCTTTTGCCAATACAAATTATTTTAAGACATTATGTTTATATAATAAATTATATAATAATTGGTATTTTAATTTGTGTAATGTCCAAATTAAATTTTATTATATATAATATTCAATTATTATTATTATTATTATTATTATTATTATTATTATTATTATATAATCGGGTCGGGTTGGGTAACGAGTTGAAAACACAAAATCTGTTACCAACCTGTACAGTGTCGGGTTTTGATCGGGTTAGGTTGGGTCTGATTCGAACAATAAAAAATATTATCCAAACTTATTGGGTTGGCTTGGGTCAATTCAATTTCGCGAGTTACCTTTACCCACTTACACCCCTAACAGTTTACATCAACATTAGAAGTGGAACGTGAGGCCTATGATTTCTAACACATCAAATATGTACACCAAATGCCAGTCAAATTCACCACTTTCCAACTTCCCAAATTTAAAAAGACTTTTTTTTCCTGTACCCCAATGTATCTTTGTAATTATCCACACATCCACCTAATGTTTTCTTATACCATAACCCAAACTTTATTCTTTAATACATAATTCTCATGCCATAATAATCATTAAGCCAATTGAAAGAAAATAATACAAACCATTTCTAGCACACTAACATTCAAAAGAAACTAAAATACAAGAAAAGTCACACAAACAAACAGATAACATAAAGGTTGTAAATTCAAATATTACAAACAATTTAGATCAACCAAGTAATGTCCCATGATTACAATATCATCCTAACCATTATGCTGAAGGTCGAACACCTTTGGACTCAAATAAACCACACAATCCAATATATTCAAGAATTAAATTCGCATGCCACGCTTAAATTGTCAGAGTTCACACTCTCATGATCTTATCAATATGAAAACTATCCTAGGTTTCAAAGTAAATACTTCATATCACAATCATAAATTTTATATTATAAAATAATATACATATCATAGTTCTTCAAATTACACAGAGCATAGAAAATTCATAAATTAATCATTTTATCAATTGGTACATATTATTTTAATTTTTCTATTTAATACTTTCTCAAAAGTTATCCATGTTCTAAATTCATTCTTAAGGTCGCAATGACTAAATTAAATCATTTTAGAAACCAACTTTAGAAAACAAAACAAGAAGTGCATTGAAAGTGTCAAAACTTGATTATAAGTACTAAATTGCTCATAAACCGATTTTTCATAAATAAATGAGTAAACATACATTTTTCACACCTGGCAAGAACATTTTAAACACTAGAAACTGTATTAAAACAGGGTTATCATCCCCCAAAATTATATCATTTTCGTGCTAAAGAAAGAAAATTTTACAAAAGTGCTTAAAAATTATTTTAATCAATCTTTTACTAGAAAACTCTGTTTTAAATGATCTTTGAACCAAACCCTAGGTTTTCATAGTCAAGAAATCCATTTTTGACATCAAAAATTGAAAATAACTAGTAGATCAATGCAGACCAGAATAGGGCAGTCACGATTTTTTTTAGATTTTATTTTCCAAGATCAAAAGAAACTACAACAAACAAGAGTTCAATGGTTGGGATCAATTGCCCTTACCTCAAGGAAGATTTTATCAAGATGGAATGAAGAAAACAAGCTTCTACACAAATTTCCCTAAGGAGAACAAGCTTGATGTAACTCCAAAGAGAAATAGAAGAAGAAAATCAAAGGATGGTGAAGTAGAAAATTCAAAAACTTAGTTGTTTACCTTATATTTGAGTAGAACAAGAAGAAATGCTCTAGAGAAGAAGGAGGAATGAAGAAGGTGAAGAGAAACTACTGTTCTCCTTTCTTGGAGTGGTTTCACGTACGTGAGAGTGGAGAGGAGAGTGAAAATTTAAATTTGTTTTAAGAAGATAACTTATGAGACAAGTTTTAAGTCATTTGAATGAATAATGACCTTCTCTCTCTTTTTTCTTCGTAGATTTTGAATCCTTCTCTCTTCTAATTCAAATCTACAAGTATAAAATACTTAAAGGAAGGAAAAGAGTTAAATTAAAATAAAAACAAATAGATATATAAAATATTTGCTCCAAATTAATAGCTATGAGTATATTTTGTTTGGAACTAAATTTTGGTTCTTATTGAAAATATTTTTTCAAAGCATAATTAATCTTCCTCATAATAAAATATTTCAATTCATGTCCTAGAAGAAAGAATTAACAACTTAAAATAATTAAATTCATAGATATCAAAAAATTATAATTTAAATCATATCTGTAAACAAAACAAAGAAATTCACGACCAAATAAAATAGAAATTTTTATAAAATTCATAACAATATTTATGAATCAAATATATAAGAAAAATTAGGATGTTACACATATCACACATTAAATTATATTATTACTAGATATGAAATTGGAATGCACAATAACATAATTTATTTGGGTTAAATTCTACCTTTGATCCCTTTATTTTTTGTTAATTTGTAATTTTGGTCCCTCTATTTCAAAATAGAGATATTTAGTCCTATTTTTTAAAATACCGAATTTTGATTCTCTCATCAAATTAACATATATAAATCGTTAAGTTTTGAATTTTATTCACACTTAAGTGATGTGACATTTAATAATATGACATAAGATGAAAAAACTAAAAAAAATTAATGCAAATAAAATTTATTAACAATATACAAATCAATTACTTGTTAAAATATATACAAACAAAATTTTCTTTGTATATTATTTTTAAATTTTTTTATCTTTACATGTTACGTCACTTAAGTGATAATAGATCATTGAATAACGTTAAAATTTAATAATCAACAAACATCAAATTGATAATAGCACCAAAATTTTGTATTTCTTAAATCAGAGAGACTAAACGTCCCTATGTTAAAATAGAGGAGCTGAAATTGTGAATTGACAAAAAAATATAAAGACTAAAAGTACAGTTTAACTTTTATCTTTTAATTTAAAATTTATGCATTTTAAATTTTAAAAAAAATTACATTGTTAATACGACTTTTAGAAAAATTATTATAAAAATAAAAAATTTATTATGCACAGTATTTTGTGATTAAATGTAAACCTAAAAATCCTTTATGTTATCAATATATACTATTTACTATCCATCTTTTCAAAAATAAAGAAAGAAAGATAGTCATCTCGAATGAGAGTGCTTTGCTTAAAGATGCATTTTCTTCACAAATAGCAAGTCTTTCATCTTGCCCTTCCACAAGTGATAATTAGTGTCATTCAAAGCAATCATTTTAGTATTTGCCTCCATCATTCAAGCAAGTCAAATAGCCCAAAACCCAAGCCAACAAGAGCTCTAATACCACTCTGATGGGGAAACAACAACACAATAATAACATAGAGCAAACTCAAACAGTTTTTGCAGCGGAAATAAATTCCCCAAACTTACAAGAATCTGTGAGGAGCAACAACCAATGAACAACAATAATAACTCACCAAAAATCACACAGAGACACCAAGATTTTTAACGTGGAAAACCACTCAAAGTAATTTATATTATAACATAATATTATTTTTATTTATTAATAAATTTTAAAATATTAAAGTTTAGTTCATAAATAATTATATAAATAAAAATTAAATTAGATAAGAAGTTAAAAAAATCCTCGAAATCTTCTCGTTAAAGAATTTAAAAAAAAAATATTTTCATACAAAATAGAGGTTGATGTTTACATAGACATAGTTTTTTTTCCTATCTCTTTTCATTTCATTTTCTATTTTTACCTTATATTTCCATTACTTCTCTTTTGTGTCTTAATTATATGAAATTATTCATTGTTACATTTTTTTTTGCATTAAATATGTTTAGAACTAAATCAAACCATTTTAAATTAGTAATTGATCTATAAAATCTAAAAAAAAATCCAATACCTTTTTCTTGATAATTTAAACCAAAAAAATTAAATATAAAGAAATATTTTTTTTAAAAAAATTATTACAATTTGACTCAATTTTCAATCCTTGTGATAAAATATTGAACTAAACACACATTATACTTTTATAAAAAAAAATTATAACTCATAAAATCTCGTAATACATTCATGTCTTAAATTTTTGTATTTATATTTTTTTTACTAAAATAATAGAATGAGAAAATACCTCTGTTAAGTCTCAATTTTACCTCTTTTTGGATTAGACTTATTGAACAAATTTCACTCATCCTTTGAACCATTGCAATATAATTGTTCTCTTTTTGGTTCATTTTGTATGCAGATATAACTAACCCAAATTCATCTAACAATACCTTAATCCACCTCATTTTTTGTACAGGTATTGAGCTAGAGATTTGAGGATTGAAGATCTTTTGGATTGGAAACATAAGGAGCCAAGGAGCAGAGCAGAGTGTCTGCGCCGGGCGTAAGATGACGCTGCGCCGGGCTTGAGAAGAACAGAGCAGTGGACTTTTGGAAGTTGTACATGCGCCGGGCGCGAGACTCCACCACGCCGGGCGTGATCGAGGCAGAGAGTACCTCAATACTCTCTGGAACGAATTGCGCCGGGCTTAATAGAGAATTGCGCCGGGCTCGCTCTAAGGCAGAGAATGCTTGAAAGTCTCTGGAAGACACTGCGCCGGGCGTAAAAAGTAATTGCGCCGGGCTTATAACGAGGCAGAAAGTGCTCAGAAGACTATGCGCCGGGCGCGACAACTTATGCGCCGGGCGCAGAACCCTAATCTGACCTCCCAGGCTCGTATTTGAAGCCATTTTCGAGGGTTTCTCCCTCATTCACACATTGGGCGCGTTTTGGGAGCTGTGGAAGGGATTCCCGGAGCTTGGAGCCGTTCGTGTGTGGGTCTTTCCTTCGGTTCTTCATTTCTCCCTTCATCTCTATTTTGTATTTACCCTCTTTGTTGAGTGGTTTCACCCATTTTTGTGGGGTTAGATGTAACCAACGAATTCTATTGTAATCCTTACGGTTTTTATGATATATATACATGTTGTTTCATTCATTGTTGTTTATGTTTCTATTCTTAATGCTTGCTTTGGATTTAATCTCATTGCATGATATAGGTTCCATTGGGTATTGGAAAATAACCCTTGAAACTAGCTCTGAAACAAATGCCTAGTGGGAAATGTATCTAGGAATGGAGCTTAGCCCATTAGTAGTCTTAAACCCTAGCCCGTAATGCGGATGTAGATATTGGGTACTCAAGGGATTGATATTCAATATCCACATCTAGGCTCTTGCTCTAAGGGATTAGGTTTGAGTAAACTATTGGGTTGACTAAGCAATGAATTTAACAAGAGATTAAGGACTCATTAGTGTAACGTTTGGTGAAATCTGACCCCACAACCTCACAAAACCATTACCATTTCTACCCTTTTCCACTCACAAACCATTATTTATTTATAGCTTTCATTCCAGTAGTCATGCTCTTCGATTCATATACATGACGAACTACAATTTGGAATCATTCTTTAGTCACGAATAGTCATTAAATGCTTATTTTACCTTCTAATCCCTGTGGATACGATATTTTTACTACTTGAACGGCCGGTATACTTGCCGTGTTTGAGACTGTTGATGGAATTAAACTAAATTTCAATTATAACAAAAGTACTTCAACGGAAATCTCAACAACCTCAATACCTAATTAACTGTGAATTATTTAACCACTAAAATCAATTAGGATTTATGATTGGAGTAATGTCTACAAAATTTTAGTTTCAAATTTTAATGTTCTCATTGTAATTTATATAGATGAAAAATTAACTAAGAATGATGTGTACATAATTTTTTTTAATAGAAAGCCTGTAATGTAATTATTATCATTTGTTATTTCTTATTACTTCATGAATTATAATTATGTAAATGTCATGTGAAAAGATTGATTATGACTTAATTATTGGATTTAAGTTGTGACAATTTATTATTTTAACATTAAATTACACTTTTAGTTCATTATAATATTAAATTTGTAATTTTAAATCTATTTATTTTTAATTTCACAATTTTAGTCTTTAATTTTATAAAATTTATAATTTTGATCATCTCGTAAATTTTTCATATGTTAATCATTAGTCGTAATTTGATATTAACTAAATGGCACAATTATTAATATTTAAACTAAATTGCACTTGTACTTCTCATTTTTTTTTATCTATTTTTCACCCCATTTTATTACCTTTTTAAGATAAAAATGAGAACCAAAATAAATTTAGCCTAAAATTATTAAATTTTAATTATTATGTCATCTATTAGATGTCATATCATTAGTAATGTTGATTTTAACTATTAATGAATCAATATTCAACTAAAGAATCAAAATATTATATTTTATAAAATATTGGATTTAGGAATTAGGGTTTAAATTTCAAAAATTAAAAATGCAAAATAAAAAATTGAGAGACCAAAATTACTGATTTAACATTATAAGAAAATAAAAAGTGCAATTTAATTTTTTTATTTTTTCTAATTATCAAATTAAAAATAACTTTGGAAGTCATAAATAAAATTATATAAAATAAACGATTGCAAAATATTGAATTGACTTGATTCAACCATGATATTACATTCAAACAATATCAAATTGAACCACTATTTTATGTTTAGTTTGAATAACTTTTCTTCTAAACATAATACAAGATTGGATCGTGAGCATCTCTAATAAATATAATTTCTTAAACATTTTGTTATTCGAATGCCAAATAGGCGTGGGCATGTAACAGAAAGAAGTAAATATGTACTAAATAAATACGATTTCATGACATTTTCTGCCAACCTATAAAAGTAAATGGTATATCACACTTACATTACACTTTAATTATATGTTGAATGAAATTTTTGGTTGAGGATTTAATTGTATAAATTAAAAATTAAATATAAACGATGCAAACTAAAAACACAAAATCACGCATATAAAATAAAATATAAATACAAATTACAGTTAGGTCAATAGTTAAACCTCATGTTATGCTCGGTTTGTTAATATTTCTAACATCGGATATAAGTTGCTCGGAATGTTTTATATTTTCATGGTTAAAATATTTTTTTAGTTCATACAATTTTATTTACTTTATCTTTGGAATTCTATAATTTAAAAGACAAGTCTTTTAAGTCTTTATATTTATCTTTTTCAATCATTTTGAGACCCTATATTTATAAGTTTTTAATCTTTTAATTTTTTTTAACAGTTTCATTTATATTAAAATAACAAAGATATTTATTCAATTGTGTTTCCTATATTGAATTTATGTTATTAAAATTACACTAAATTAGATTTTTTAAAATTTCGTATTTTTTTTATATCTTCACTTTTAATACCTATTGTTAAGATGATAAAAAAAATGATAAAGACTAAAAGAATTAAAAAAGAAATTGTAAATATACAAATTAAAAAAGTATATATCTTAAATTATAAAGATTAAATATATATATATATATATATAAATTAAAAAATAAAATTTAAATTATAAAACTAAAAAATAAAATAAGTAAACTTGTAGAGACTAAAAACATATTCATAATTAGTCCAACACATATTGTCTTAGCTATACAATGGACATTCAGCCATAAACAAGAAAACAACTAAAAGCCCACGGTGCTAACGCCCTTCTAAGAAAAAAAGGACATAGGCCTCAGTACGATGGCTATTGCAGTTGCACGACAGAGAGTGTAAGCCAGTTTGATTAAACCGAATTTTGATGAATCTGTTCAACTCAATCAAAATTTACCAAGTTATACTGAATTTATGTTTTTTTTTTTTAAATCTAACCTGATCACGATCAAGTTGAATTGAGTTAAGTCTTATATGTTAACATAATTAAACTTACATTTTTTTTAAAAAAGAAATTAAATTTTTATAATAAATTTAAATCATTTGATATCTTATTATAAATATAATATTATTAACCAATAAAATAAATTATACAAATTAAATTTTAAAATAAATTTATTAACTAACTATATAATTATCAATTCAAACAACTAACATTGATATATAATACACATTACCAAACAAGGACAAAATATTATTTTAAGCAAATAATCACACTAACTTAATATAATTATTATTATATAACTGAATCAAGTTAGGTGATAACACCAAAACAATCCAACCAAAACTCAACGAGTCAATTTTGACTAGTTTCCATTCACAGATTATCTGTATGTGCTTACATCCCTGAGCAACCAACATAGAAAGAGACCCTGATAACCTATAATTGATAATTTGTTAACGAGACATTTTCTGGCCCCAAATCATGAAAGTCTAAATTCAGGGCGCAAGAGCTAAATACAAAATGCAACTTCAAGTAAACTAATTGAGTTTACTACTATATTAAAGTGTTTTTTTTTAGTTTATCCTGTGCGTCTCCATCTTGGATAATCGTTTCTAGAGATTCTTGTACCGATTTCCAAGTCTTTTAGTATTTTGATGGAAATGATTAGACTAGGGGACGATGAGATAAAACGGGTAAAATAGCATAATAGTACCTTACCAAGAGACCTCCAATTGCTCCTTTTTTGAGCTAACTTTACTGTTTAAAATCTAGCATTGGACATGAAAAACTCTAGTGACATACATCCATGGCAAAACCCATAAAACAATGCAACAATCTGTTATCTCTTCCCCTTAAAATAACTAGCTGAAATGTTATTTCTTCGATGTGCTTGGAACAGTATACTTCGTGAGAACGTAGCAGTCTGGTGGTGTAATGTTTGTATAATAGTTCTGGATTGTTTCTGTAATTTCAAACCCAAATTTCTTATAGAAGTTTATAGCATCTTCATTGTTTGTCTGCACATGCAAGTAAACCTCCGAAAAGTTTTGCTTGGAGCAAAGATCAAGAACATGATTCAATAACTTTGATCCTGCATAAACCCCAAGATTCACATCAAAAAACTTGCATAGTTTGTAAAAGAACGTATGCAATTTGCTTGAAAGGAAGCAATAAATTTTGAAACAATGATTGTTCCCAATATGAAGCTTGCACCTTATTACAAACCATTTATCAGTATTTCCAGTACTGAGACAAGTATCGACACCAAAATCATTGAATAAAATGATCAATTAAACTTTCAATCACAAGGGAAATTCAATTTCTTTCTTACCAATACCAAGTCCACGGTAAGGTGCTAAAACACCTAATGTCATGATGTAAACCCGAACTTGCCCCCCACCTTCCTTCTTTTCCAGCCGGCATGCAATTGCTCCAACACAAATATCACTAAAGTAAGCTGAAAGACAAAGACAAAGTAATAATCTTAGGGCTGGTGTTAGACACGTTCTACAGATCCCATATACCCATCCCTTTTTTGTGTATCATCCATATTGTCAAGCAAACTAAAAGCACATATCAAATAGTTTTGGTTAAAGTAATGTTTTATGCTTGCATACTAACACTCAAGTCCAAGACCTTTCAGAAGCACATGAATGCAACATGTTATTAAGTATTGAAGACATCTTGTGTTTTATTTTGATAAAGATGACTGCGTACATTAATTTTTGGGTGCGAATAAATTTATCAAAGCAAAGAGGGATCACATACCCTCCTTAAATAAAGCAGAAAAAGAAGGGGGGAAATCAATTTGAAAGAGCTCCCCAAACCATCAGCATATCCAATATTATCAAAATGAAGATCCTACCTAAGATTGGGAAGCGAGTAGAAGATCATACATCCCAGGATCGTAACATGAATTATAAGATTCTGCTGAAAATGCAAAATTATATTTGCACATACGCACGCATAGAAAATAACACCTAATTCACAATATTTAACTAAGCTAAAATTGAAAATTCATAATCATAAGGTTACATACTACTTGTTATAAGTCAATAACATAAGTAATCCTTAATAGCAATCTAAAACAGAGAGCATGGGTAGAGAAACAGAAGCTTGAAGGCAGTAAAGCATGAATATAGAATCTTGAAGGCAGAAACAGATATTATGGAGCTGGAGGTAGAATGCAGGATGGACAATGGAGGCAGAATGCAGAAACCAGAGAGACCAAATATAGATTAGAGTATGGTTAGTGTTAGTGTTAATTGAGTGAGAGTGCACGAGGGAGTGAGAAGGGGATCCTTTGATCTCTCTAACAATTTTGACAACACTGAGCATATCTACCAAGAGGACTATCCTATGAAGGGTTTTATCTCCCCATTGTTAGGGGAAGGGAGTGGATATGTTTGAATCTAAAAAGTTAGAAAGGCTGAAACCCTTTATATATGCAGAATAAAAATCTCCAAGATAAAACAAATTGCATGAAGGATATTGCAAAAGGTAGCAAATAGGAGTTCTGAATTGCACAAGAAATTCAGATCAATCACAAAAGTAAATCAAGTGCAAATTGATTTATACAAATATAAAAAAGGATAAATCAAAATTTAAAGGGTTTTGCTATGAATGACTCAAGTGAAGCGTGGTTTATTTTTTAGCGAATAGATATATCACTTCTTAAGATTAAATAAAATCATTGTCTAGAGAGCGGTAAGTGTAAGCAATGATTAATCGCAATACACAACGGCAAAACATCTTCGGATAAAATAAATTATTAGTTATAGGTTACTACAGCGGAATTAGAATCTTGAGCTTTAATATGTGCAGAAAGAAGGAAGCTAAAGGCAACCCGAGCAGAAACTCAAGTGCAATAGCTCAAGAAAACCTCAAGGGGTTATTATACAAGCCAACAACAACATATAAACATTGTCACACGATCATGCTTGGGCATCAAATAAAAGGAAACTTGTATCAAATGTGGGTTCGCGAGTTTGTTGTTTTATTTATTTATTTGAAATGAATCCCGAGTAGAATTATTTTGAATTTGATTCCCCAGAAAAAAACTAACAAGGTAAGCATAAAGCCAGTAGATGTAACAGCTGGGAAGAGCGATTAATGTGAAAAGAATGCAGAATGGAGCAAAATGGAAGTGGAAAGAAGCAGAGAATAGAACCTAGTTTGGTAAACTCGCCAGAAGCGAGTGCATCGGCGTAGTATTTGTCATTGTAACGAACAGGGAAAAGAGCAAGATTGAGCTTCTTGAGCTGCATCAGGTTTTTGTCCCTCACTCCATCAAGTGAGATAGAGACTTCACGCCCAGCACCCATTCTACAAAAAGAAGAAGAAAAAAAGATTGTTAGCAAAAGCAGAGAAGGAAAGGGATGAATAACGGTTATGGAATTGGAATCTTCCCCTCATCCCAAAATCCAACTTCTTCAAGAGCTACCTGAAATTAAAATCAAATTCACAAACTACACGTGCCCAGAAAACAGAGAGAGAGAAGTGAAATGCCTCGAGGCTTAGACTGACCTCGGAAACGTTTGAATCTGCGAGTGAGGGGTGGCGTGGCGGTGGACGACACAGAAAACCTAGAATAGAGCCTCCGGGATTCTTTTGACCTTTCACAACTTCATTTTTCTCTTCCAACCTTTTTTCTACTATTTTTACATTATACCTCCTTTTTCGCCAAAAATTAAAACAAATATTTCTATTCTAATTTTTATTTTCCATAATATGATATCTAACGTCCCTCAATTCTTAGTATGTGTATAACTATCAACTTGTGTGTAATCAGAGGGTGAGGTACACATGACAAATTATTTTTTAAAAATCCTCCATCTGTCAAAAAAATGATTATTATTTTTAAAATAATAAAAAATTATATAATTCTAAAACAAATATATTTGTCTACAAAAAATAAAAAAAATAAATGGAAAAACATGATATTAATATAAGTATTTTAAATTTAATAATTTTTAAATTAAGATAAATATCAATTGTAAATTTTTAAAAATTAAAATTGAGAATATTTCAACTTTTCTCTCGTGTTTAACTTAGTGTGTGTTTGGATTGTTGATATAACTACACCAAATGTCTGTTTGCATATTCTAAAGCACAAATCAGAAGAAATAACAACATTGATAGATTAAAAAAAAGTGAGTTACATTCCATGGGATGGTAACTCAAATACACCCTTAATTTTGTAGATTTTCAATGGTAAATTAAACATATACTGTTTTTTTTTTTAAATGTGGGGTGCATCATCTTTACCTATAACTGTAATTTTTTAAAATGAAAATTTAGAATATTCATACCACTAATTTCAAATTACACTTCATGGAGTTGTTTTACCAATTGGAAGATACTAAGTACATAAACAAACATTTATGTGTAACAAAAAAATAAAAATAAACATTCGTGTTATGCTTTGATTAAGAGTTGCAGCGGTGATTCTTGTTGTAGATATAAAATCCGAATAATGAGTAGTTTGAGTTTTTAGAGGGAGAAATGAATGAATTAAGTATATATACCAAGAATAAAAGAACTCTGAAAGTTGTTTTGACAAGAAATCTAAGGATACTTTAAAGAGATTAATTGGTATTACATATAAATAATTAAATTAGTTAAATACTAAAATATTTAGAAAAATGTTAATAATATAAGTGAGATTTTAAAAATTTTCGATTTTCCATGTTTATGTAACAAAAACAAAACACATGTATTCATCTATATCTCCAACCTTAGATGATGCAATACTACATTCCATGATAAAAATAAAATAGTGGGTCGATGGCTAACTCAATGCGGTAGAGATGGTATTGTTGAAGAAAAAACAAGTTGATTTGGTGGTTGATGAGGCCAAGTCATGCATACTCAAGTAGTCCTAACCCATTGCGTAACAGCCTCTGTATGTGGGTATGCAATGACAATGAATGAACTTGTGTTTTTAGTTAAAAGAAAAGTTGAAATGTGTTCAAGTCTTTAAAGAAAAAAGGAAAGAGCTGCAATGATGACATATCAAATGTGATGTCCGTAGAGAAAGAAGGAAATTACGGAAACAAAACTTAATATTCCAAAAATATTTTATGTTTGACTAAAATTTAATTATTTTCAATTAAATTATTGTATATTTTAATTTCATTCTTTCAAGTACAAAGTTAAAGAAATTAGTTAATTTAATTAGAAATATTAATTTTATTCTAAATTTACATATTCTTCATTTTTTTTGTTACAAATGAGAGAAAAGATAATAGAAAAGAAAAAACAGAGAAACCAGAGTTATCTCTCAAACAATATTTGAGAACACAATTCCAATCTTTTGCTATCAATCCTTTGACATACTCCAAATATGCTACATATTTTTGGTGATAACAAGTTATATCATGGACAATTAATGAGCATCATTACTTCTGCATGGATATTATTGCTAATACTCATGCTACCATAATTTTCAAGCAATAACTTTCTCTCCTGGTAACTCACAAAATTGCCAAATCCCCTCTCACCAAAGTTATTCAAGGCGTTGTCACCCACGTTTGTTTTTAAAATTAATGAAACATATATTATTTTTTTTATACTCTTTTATTAACTTCATTTCATTTAATCTCTCGTTAATACATCTTTTTTTATTATTATTGACAATTTATGTGTTGGACATAGTTAATGTTTCCAATATTCCTTCATTTATATATATAAAAAATAAATGAAAGTATTCTTACCGGAAATCTGCCGTAGAGATGATCTGCCGAGTAAGATTGGTGAGCCTTCTTCGCTGGTCCGTTGGTGTTTCCAGAGATGGGGGTGGTACCTGCAAAAGAGACTCTGATGCTAAAGTTACGGTTTGTGTGAATATGAGTCTCGTATAAGTAATGCACGTACCTTAGTGTAGATTAGGGTTGCGTTGGGCCTTGGGCCTGAGATCAGATATGATATGATTAGATAACGGATCTCAACCGGAGCGAGATCCCCTTTCATTAATGTGGCGTCAGACTTGCCCCTTGGCCATCACGTGGCGTGACCGTTTCGAATTTGGGAAGAGCCCTTTTCTCTCCCTCGCGCCTCTTCCCTTTTCACTTTGCTCATCTTTCACTCTTTCGACTTCTCGCACACGTTGTTTCTCCGGTGCTTCTGCTCATTCTCCGTCCTCATTTTTTGGTCGTCATTTCCGGTAATCCGTCATTGTTAGGGTTGTTTTCTAAGAGGTACTTTCTTTCTGCAGTTTTCTTTTTCTTTCTTCCCCACTCTTCTTCGGGTCTTTCTTGTCGTCTTTATGGCTGGGGGGAGTCGCGCCTGCTAAGGGCAAGACACGGGGTAAGGCAGCGGCTGCCGGAACGGCCGCCGCTGTGAAAAAGGAGGTGGCGCGCGCTGCCAGCGGACCTTGTTCCAGGCATTCCTTCTCACGCCAATGTTCCTACCGTAAGTCCGCTGTCATTGTTAGGGTCACCGCATCCGAGGTATTGTCCGCTTTAGCGCTCGTTGGGCCGTTACAATTTTGTCCTTGAAAAGACGCCTCGGTGGATTAAGGAGGAAGGGTGTTTATAAACTAGTCTCGACTCCTAAGTGATGTGAGACTTTTAGGCATACCGGAACATAAAGTATTATTTTAATATTAATAATAAGAAATATAAATTTACTTTTAAATTAATAATAAAATTATCCTAAAATATTTATTGATAGCGATAAATTAAATATTTGTTTCTTACATGTTTGTGGTGATAGTTTTCAAATTTAATTATGTGTTTGTTTTTGGTTTGTAATAAACAAATGTAATTTTATTTTGTTTTGAAATACATGTCACCAACTATATAAACACACAGTTTAAAAGTCAAATAATTACTAGTGAAAATTACAGGAATTAGATTACACATTAGAGCAAACACATTATTTAAGTTTAAGATGACACCAAAGATACATATTGTTCTTTAAGTTTTATCATCTCTTGATTTTTACTTTTACCAGGTGGAGTCTGAAAATTTATATAAGAACGATGCTACAATTTCTGAATATGTGTCTCAAATCTCAATTATAGTCCGAAATATTAAAATATTAATATTTTTTAATAAATTTATTATAAAATAATTATTTAATTTAATATTTTATAATTAAAATTAATATTTTAATTATTTGAAATGATTTCTTTCTGTAAATGATCTATCTCCTTTCACCCAACTCCAAACTATCTTGTAATAAATATTTACTCATTAAACATGTGAAGAACAATATTTTTATAGTAGTGCTATTTATTAATTCTTTACTCTATTTTTAAAATGCTTATTAGTTGAATCCATTGTTATTTTAATGTACAAATACGTAATGATTATTATATTCCAAAATGTATTTAATTCGAAGTTGCATAGTTCGTCCCCCTTCCCTCAACTAAGATTCGCTGGTAAATGAAATGTATTTAATTTTAGTAATTAGTATAGCCTTTTACCTAAATTAAACAAGTATTTACCTAAATTAAATAATGCATATCTAAACCAACGTGAGAGGTTGATTGTATTTCCAAACTTTCTGTGGGCGTAACATGGAGAAACCTTTCGCCATTTGGTTGGCGCTGCCAGAAATTGTACCGGACAATGAAAACATGGTGCCATGCCACAAGTTTCTTCTCCCTTTTCCTATTTTAAATAACAGTTAATCACCATTTGCTGACAACGAATAAGAATTAAAAATTCATCAAATGATTTTAATTACGTGTATAAAAAGTATGTCTCTTTTACTTTTTTTTTTTCTTCTCATTATTTTCTTATCTTTTATCTATGCCATTCACAACCTACAATTATAATTAGCCATTTTTTTTAAATATCTTAAATTAATTTATTTTTATCTCTCTCTCTATGATATTTTTAACCACACATTTATTTTTAAAATATCATCTTTTACTTTTTGCATTAAATAAAAATTGAATAATATTTTAAAAAATTAGAAAGCCTTAAAAGTAAACTTATATTATAATTTAAACTTTTAAAGTATTGATTACAAATTTATAATATAATTTATATATTAAAAATTGATTTATTATAATGAATAATCATATTGAGGCTAAAATATTAATTTTTATGGTAAAATAATAGTTTTGTTCAATAACTAATAATAATTTTTATTGTATGAATTCTGAAGATGAAAGTTGTGGTTAGTAAAAAATGAAGTGGCAAAAATAAAATTAAACAATGAAGTATATAATTTAAAAGCGTTGGGAGAAAGAAAAGAAGGAGGAGATCTTATCATCACCCTTTGTTAGTTTAATTATCTGTGATTGAAATTGGAGTGAAAGCGAATCGGAGGCATAATGCCTTGTGCAAGCATTGTCTCAGCTCCGTCGTGCGCGTTCCCCTTTGGCTCCAGGTCCGCCTCCACTGCGTCCATCACTCCAACGGCGTTATCGCTGCCTAAACGGAGCTGGAAGCCTGGAACGGAGAGCAGAAGCACGAGGAGAGGAGAAGTGAGAGGCACGGTGATAGAGAAAGAGACCCCGGAGGCGGAGCGTCCGGAAACGTTTCTGAGGGGAGTGGACGAGGCCCATTCTTCCAATTCGGTGAGGGCCCGGTTCGAGAAGATGATAAGGGAGGCCCAAGACAGCGTGTGCAGTGCCCTTGAGGCCGCTGATGGTGGGGCCAAGTTCAAGGAGGACGTTTGGTCCAGGCCCGGTGGGGGCGGTGGGATTAGCAGGGTTCTTCAGGACGGCGCCGTTTGGGAGAAGGCTGGGGTTAATGTCTCCGTCGTTTACGGTGTCATGCCACCTGAGGCTTATCGTGCTGCCAAGGGTGCTCCTACTGATCAAAAACCTGGTCCTGTGCCGTTCTTCGCTGCTGGAATCAGCTCCGTCAGTATCCTATTCTCATCCCTCACTCACTCACTTTTTTCTTTTTTTCTCCGAGTAATTGACCTTCCCTTACTGTCTTTCTGTTCAGGTTTTACACCCCAAGAACCCGTTTGCCCCTACACTGCATTTCAATTATCGCTATTTTGAAACTGATGCTCCTAAAGGTAAGTTACGTTCCCCTCTGTTTATTTCCAGGCTGCTCTTTATATCGTTTTAGCAGTATTTTTTGTCATATTGCTTTCAACACTTTTTAGTTACTGCACATGTAATGTGATTAACGACTTCTCTCTATATACCGGTTCTTTCATCCTTGTCTTTTTGACTTTTTTCTTAGCTGTAGTTTGGCCCTTTTTTTTTCTTTTCTTTTTTTTGTGTGTGTTCTTGGAACTGTTTAATCTTTAAATTGTCTATAGCAATTAATTTTATCTATATATGTTTGGATCAACTTCTCCATAAATAAAGAAATAGGAAGAAAAACGAAATAGGCTTCTCTATTAGCTAAAGTTAGTTTATTAATAAGTTAAAATTTGTTTTTGGAAAAACTTATATGCGAGAGTTTAACAAATTAGCTTATAGAAAAGTTTATCAAAACAAACACCTAATACTTGATCAGCATACCCCAAAGTCGGTTACCTCAGCTTCAAGTTTTGTAGGTGTTCTATTTAATTTTATTTGTTATCAGTTGCTTATTATAAACCACAACTATTTATGTTAGTCTTGAAATCTTAGGAAAGCTATTATCTTCTAATAAATATTGAAACAAAGGGGTGTGAACATGAGAGTGTAAAGTTGTCAAATAATTTTCCGAGTGTGCTGATAGTGATAGTCATACTTTTGCTATCTGCAGATACCCCTGGAGCACCTAGACAATGGTGGTTTGGCGGGGGAACTGACTTGACGCCAGCTTACATTTTTGAGGAGGATGTTAAGCACTTCCATTCAGTACGTGCAAAGCGAAAATTTTGGTTTCTGATATTTTTTATGATTTAGAATCAGCATTGGCTTTTTTCTTGGTAAAAGATGAAAAAATCAATTTCCTTTGATAAAAAATACCATGATGTCTTAGTCCTTTCTTGTGAGGGCTTTTAATGTATCTTTGTACTTGTATGTGGGTTTTGCTAAACAGTTCAGTTTAAATTTTATCTTTAGAATAATAATATGATGTTTTATTGTTGAGGAAGTTTTTTTTACTTACTGTACTTCTATACTTCATGCTTCTTATGTAGATTCAAAAGCGTGCCTGTGACAAGTTTGATCCTACATTTTACCCCCGATTCAAGAAATGGTGTGATGACTACTTCTATATCAAGGTATAATTCTTCATCCCTAATCACGCAATGAAGCTTTTAAGTACATTAATTTGCAGCTGTCTTGGGGCCTGTTTGATAAAACTAAAAGTTAACAGTGTTGAGTGAGTATTAAGCATTCTGTGTTCAGTTTGTGAACCTTTAATAGAAGATTATGCATATATTCTTTGGCTCTCTGTTATAGTTGATTTTGATGAATTGGAGGCTGTAGCAACTAATAAACAAGACATGAATGGTGGTAAATGGTTAAAAACAATGACTGTCGGTGTTTATGAAAATATGGGAATGGGAAGAAGATGTGTGATGCAGGGGCTGCAAGAACAGAAGTGAAGTGGTTTGGCGATAGTAGGTGGAGATGTTATCCATGAAGCATATGCGGCTGATATTTTATTTAGTATTTAGGAGACTTGGGGTATGTCAGAAGCATATATCTCATGGCAAACTTGCAACTGCAATTATCAAGTCTTGTCTGAGCATTACTATGAATAAATGGGTGGTGTCTCAGACTCCTTATTATATCTATTTATACTCATTTTTGAGCAATGTTATATCCTCTTATTATTCCTCCTAAAACCTTGTAGAATAAATATTAAATAAAAAGTAAATGCATAGGTCTAACCTAGTGTCTTGAACGCATAAAATCCATTTGATATTTTCTTCATCTTATAATTAGGAGGATTACTAGGAAAATGTTGGAAGGTTTAGAATTATTCCGCTGTTTTCAATCTCGTTTGTCAGTTGTCAAACACAGTGCTCCCAATTGAGTGTACTCGTTGACTCAATGTAACGTGTAATTTGATGGGCCATGGATGTCATCTGTTATTTTTGTGGGGTTAGAGTGTATGCATTATAATTTTTTTTTTTAAATTGAGTGCATAGGCATATGCTGTTGATGGTTGTTTATCATTATTTTCCTTATTTCTACACTCAGCATCGAGGTGAAAGGAGAGGGCTTGGAGGAATATTTTTTGATGATCTGAATGACTATGATCAGGAGATGCTCCTTTCCTTTGCTACCGGTAATTGCTTGCATTTATAAATTTGATGGTTCTCACTGAAAAGACATCCAATTATCTGTCTCTCATGCTGGTAAACTATGGTTGTTTGCAGAGTGTGCCAATTCTGTTATTCCCGCTTATTTACCTATCATAGAGAAAAGGAAGGATTTGCCCTTCACTGATCATCAGAAAGCATGGCAACAATTGCGAAGGGGACGATATGTTGAATTCAATTTGGTACACTTTTTAACCCAATTCTAGACTGAAATGTATTGCTCTACACGTTTTCCAGATCAGGTTCAAGTTTGTATTATCAAACATTTTGTGGCCGCAGGTTTATGATAGGGGTACAACATTTGGACTAAAAACTGGAGGAAGAATAGAGAGTATTCTTGTTTCTCTCCCACTGACTGCTCGGTGGGAATACGATCACGTATGATTTTGCACTCTCTCTCTCTCTCTCTCTCTCTCTCTCTCTTTTTAACAAGTTGGATATTGGATACCTCTAGTTTTCCATTAATGAAGTTGTTACTGAAATGGTTGTGGCATTTTTGTGTACAGAAACCAGAAGAAGGAAGCGAAGAATGGAAACTCCTGGATGCATGCATGAATCCGAAGGAGTGGATCTAATTCATTAGTTGACCCTCAGTTTGTCAGCCTTTTTATAATAAGTGAGCTCGTTACTTTCTTCGGTGCATATCAAGTGCTTGTTATGATGAGTCACAACTGTTAACTTCTACTAGGTGGATTGTAAATCACGTGTCTTGCTAGAGCCATCCGTGTAAAGCGTGAAATGCAGAAAATTACGATGTCTAGGCTGCGTCTGTGCCCACTGCCAACCACATTATTCTATATGTAGTACCCCTCATATAGTAACAATATGTCTAGGCTGTGTCTGTAATCTGTATCCACTCTAAATTCAGAAAAACAAAGGCAGCTTCTTCAATGCCAGTGCTGCACACCTCAGATTCAGACTAGTAATTTAGTAATTCTGTTTTAGGAGCTAATGTTTTTGACTGAATAATCTGTGTGTAATAATTACTGCATCTAAGCACCTATAATTTCCCACATGCATCTACTTTTAACGAACTCCCGGGAACATTTATTACATAAAACATTTCATAAAATGAATAATAGTATGGTGATGAATAAAATAAAATTCGAAGTAAATTCGTCAAAATGAGGTTTAATTGGGCCAAAATTTACATCATGCATTGCACTAGCATTTAGCATCTCCCACCCCGTACCATTGTCGACATATTTCTTGGCAATGGTGGAAAAATATACATAAATACATAATGACACATCATATGCAGTATGCATTCTTGTCCAGTTCTCCCTCTATTACCCGCAAAACCAAAGACAAAAAGATGACACAGCAACTCAGGATCCTAATTTACTATTCTTATCCGTCAGATGGAATTCTGTCGGGCCAATGGAGGAACTTGTGGCCTTGAAGTGATGGTGGCATGTACGTTTGTGTGGAAAAGGGGTTGTCAGGAGGGTAGATATACCCCTTCCCATACCCAATTTCCTTCATTAATTTGGTTGGTGCATTCCTCAAATGGAGAGGGACCCCCTCATTGTGTCCCGCCGATTCTCTCACTGCCTTCTGAGCAGCTTCTATTGCTCGATAAACTGCAACAGATTTAGGTGCCAAGGCCAAGTAAGCTACACACTGCGCAAGAATGACATTGCATTCGGGCATTCCCAGGAAGTGGCAAGCTTGGTAGCAGGAAACGGCCTGAGTAAGAGCCGATGGATCAGCCAGACCAACATCCTCACTTGCAAACCGTACGAGTCTCCGTGCAATGTAAAGAGGCTCTTCACCACCCTGTAGCATTCTTGCCAACCAGTAAATAGCTGCATCTGCATCGCTTCCCCTCATAGACTTGTGCAATGCACTGATTAGATTATAATGCTCTTCCCCAGCTTTATCATAAGCAAGGTGCTTGCACTGAAGTGCCTCCTTTGCATCATCAACACTAACAACAGCAACATTGTATTCCTCTTTTGTCTGATTTTCAATCCCTTCCTCCTCCTTTTGCTTACCATGTTGTAGCCGTGCAGCTGCGGTAACAGATGCAATCTCCAAGGAATTCAAGGCCACACGAGCATCCCCATCACAATTGTTGCTTATAAAATCAACAACATCTTCACCCACATGAACCTGAAGCCCCACGCTTTGCAGCAAGCCTTTGTCAGGGTTATTCACGGCACGGTTTAGAAGCAAGGCAAGGTGGTGGGGTTGGAGAGGGTTAAGAGTGAGGACACGGCATCGAGACAAGAGAGGCGTAATCAAATGGAAAGAAGGGTTCTCGGTGGTGGCGCCAACGAAGACAATGCTGCCATCTTCAATGACGGGTAGGAAAGAGTCCTGTTGAGACTTGTTGAACCTGTGAACCTCGTCGACGAAGAGAACGGTGGTTTGGTTAGATTTGAGCCTGAGTTTTCTGGCTTCGTCGACGGCGTCCCTGACGTCTTTAACGCCGCTGGTGACGGCGGATAGGGAGACAAAACGGTAACAGGTTGAGGTGGCGGAGTTGACGATGGCTCTGGCGATAGTGGTCTTGCCGGTGCCAGGTGGACCCCAGAAGAGGAGGGAAGGGAGGCGATTGCGTTGGATTGCGGAGCGGAGAAGGGAGTTGGGGGAGAGGAGATGCTCCTGGGCGACCACCTCGTCTAGGGTTCTGGGACGCAAACGCTCGTACAAGGGCTCGTGAATGTGCGTGTTGCCTTGTTTCTTGAAGAAGAAGGAGGGCCAGTTTTGTTGTTTTTGAGAAGGCTTGAGGCGTTTGGAGGGCTGTTCTTGTTCTTGGGAGTGTGGAGGGGTGGGGGATTGGGAATGGAAGAAACGATCGAGCTTGGGCTGGAGTGTGGTTGCGGAAGTGGAAGTGGAAGGGTTTGAGGAGTTAGGCTTGTGAGTGAGAATCCATTCGGTGGCTTTGACTGTCGATTTTCCGCCTGTGGCAGCCAGCGCTTGGGCGGCTAACTCGTCCGGAAAGCCCATGCTGAGGAGCTGTTGCATCTCCATCTCTTTCTCAGCTTCACTATTCTGATTCTTTTTATCTTCTTCTTTATTCCCACCAACCCCTTCTTCGTATATTCCAGAAGCCAGAAGGGATGTCCAACATGCCACCATCTCTTTCTCGTGGCGTGGCTCCATACAAATACTTTTTAATTTACCAAAATCATTTCTATTCTTTTAGATCATTTCTGCTTTTCATTTTAACACTTCATCATTTGTAAGCTAACAAAAATATCATATTATTAAGCTACAAAATTACAACACTTTTTCATCAAACTTCCTTCTGTCAGTCTTACCTTATTCTTCCATTACACGAACAGAAATGTTTCAAAATTCGGTCCTCCGAACTCCGAAGGATAAATGGATAATTAATTCATTTTAATATTGCTTCCTTACAGAATGCTCGTCATTTTTATTTTTATTTATTTATTTATAATTTTCATGCAGTAACTTAAAAACATCATATCAACTCCTGTATTTACCAGTTTGATTACTATTTTTTTTCAAAAATTTAATAAACTTTATTTTGTAGCTTAAAAATATTTATTTTAATTTTTATAACTATCATTTGATAAACAGTATGTGTTTATTCAGTAAAAAGAATGTTTTTAATTATGAAAGTTAAAAAAGTAATTAAACTTTATTTGTATTTTCTAGTTTTTATAGTTTTTTTTACTATTCAAATTAAGTGTTTTCATCCTAAAATTTTTAACTATTACTTTCTTGTTTTTATTAAAAGACTATCATGACAAAATTTCACAAATTAATACTCGTACAGTTAAATTTATTTTTTTTATAAAAATATTACTATATATTAGTTTTACCTAACTATTTATCATCAAATTTTTATAACAAAAGTGAAATAAAAAACTTATACATTAATAATAATAATAATAATCCATAAATATTAATAAAGAAAATACTTTTTTAAATAACTAAATTAGTTTTCATATTTTTTTTGAACTTTTTTATCCATTCAATTATGTAATAGTTTTTTATGAATAAAGAATAAAATAAAAAATATATAAAAAATGTAATCATCTGTATAACTGTAATAATAATAAAAAATATGCTTTTACTATAAGATGTTTTTCAAATTCTTTTTTCACTATTTAACACTAAGAATATATATACTTATAATATTTAATAGAGAGAAATAATGAAAATATTTTATAAATATAAAATACTTTATAAAAAGTACTAGTTTTTTTTAAAATTATATCTTGTAATAAAATTAAAGAAAAAAATTACAAAGGCGAAGAAAAATGAAAAATTTCTAAATTAAAAATCCTATTTAAATCTTAAAAAAAAAAATGAGTGTTGTTTGTTGTTCCTCTATCCCATATTTTAAAGCATTAGGAATTAGCAGTAATGAAGCAGTAGAATTTTACTTTATCCTTTTGGAAATTTTATGGATAGATGTGAGATATTTTCGTGGTATGGAAATGGATGACAAGAAAAGGAGATAGCAATAGGAACTGGTGTAGTGTGGAATGAGGGTCATGGCTTCTTCGGTTGTTCGCGTTCCCGTTCCTATTCCCGCCGAACAAGTTTTAAGTGAGGGCGGAAGCGTAAGCCCAGGCCCAGGCCCAAGCCGGAGCCGGAGCCGCAGCGTGAGCATTCGGTCTCGGCTGAGCAAACTGTGCCAACAAGGTGAGCCACACCTGGCTCGGCACCTGCTGGACACGCTCCCACGCGCCTCCACGGCGGTGTGGAACACGGTGATCATCGGCTTCATCTGCAACCACATGCCAGTGGAGGCCCTCAACTTGTACGCCAAAATGAGGTCCACCCCCGACATCCCTTCCGATTGCTACACCTTCTCCTCCACCCTCAAGGCCTGTGCCCTAACCCACGACCTCATGGCCGGTAAGGCCCTTCATTCCCACTTTCTCCGCTCTCAATCCAACTCTCGAATCGTTTACAACTCCCTCTTGAACATGTACTCCTCATGCTTGCCTCCTGCCTCCACGCAATCCCAACCGGACTACGTCCTCAAAGTGTTCGCTGTTATGCGCAGACGAAACGTCGTCGCTTGGAACACCTTGATTTCCTGGTTCGTCAAAACCCACAGACACCTTCATGCCCTACGCGCCTTTCATAACCTCATCAAAACATCTCAAACCCCAACTACCGTTACTTTCGTCAATGTCTTCCCC